TGGTGCGTAGAAGTGCTAGGATCCGTACTACTAAAAAATTCCATGATGACTTACGAGAGGCATCTTTTGGAATAGCAGAGGTCTGACGGACTTGGCTAAAATAAGGTTTTTAGCAGATGCTTCCATTGAGCACAGGTTGGATTTTATCGCCCTCTCTGAAACAGGAAGAGACAATTTCTCTCCTCGGTTTCTTAGCACTTTATCGGGAGGTGTCGATTTTGATTAACATTGCCTTCCCCCAAGAGGAAGATCAGGGGGGATCTTACTTGGGGTTAGATGCGAGATGTTGGAAGTCTGAAGTGCGGTTATGGGTGATTTCGTCGTCAAATTTTGGGTTAGATCCAAGATCGATGGCTTTAATTGGGCACTGGTAGCAGTATATGGGGCCGCGTAGACGGAGCTTAAACCAGACTTTCTGGCGGATCTCGTCTGTATTTGTGGGTCTGAGCAGCTTCCAATCTTGGTTGGGGGTGACTTTAACATTATTAGAAGGAAAGAAGAAAAGAATAATGATAATTTTGACGCCAGGTGGTCGTTCATGTTTAATACCATTATTGAAAGCTTGGATCTCAGAGAGATAGAGCTTTCGGGTAGAAAATTCACTTGGGCTAATACCTGGCAAACCCGACGTATGAGAAGCTGGATCGAGTCCTAGCGAGCGTCGACTAGGAATAGAAATTCCCTCTGGTAACAGTTCAAGCATTATCTCGTGGAATCTCTAACCACACCCCTCTGCTGGTTGACTCTGGCGAGGCAACGCATGTGGGTAATAAAAACACCTTTTCTTTTGAACTAGCGTGGTTTGAAAGAGAAGGCTTACTGATCTGATAGCCAGGGAATGGGTGAAAGATGCAGGGGGAGGTCATCTATTGAGAGATGGCAGAATAAGATTAGGAACTTGAGAAGTTTCTTGCGAGGGTGGGCTAAGCATCTCAGTGGGATCTATAAGGCTGAAAAGGAAAGGCTCCTTACACTTATTCAGTCCCTAGATTTGAAAGCCGAGTCAACAATTTTAGAAACCTCGGAGCTCCACGCTAAAGTAGACGCGGAGATGAGTCTGAAAGAACTTCTGCGAGAAGAGGAGTTGAAGTGGGCATTGCGAGCTAAGGTTCGCAAAGTTGTCCAAGGGGACGCCAACACTCAATTCTTCCATATGATCGCCAACGGCAAGCATAGAAAGAAAAGAATCTTTCAACTTGAGCAAGATGAGGGGATAATTTTAGGACAGGAAAACCTAAAATTATACATAACCAATTACTACAAGCAGCTATTTGGGCCTCTAGAGGATAATTTTGTGTCCTTGGATGAGTCTAGGATTGAGGATGTTCCTCGGCTGGCTGCGGAGGAGAATGATGTTTCAACCGCCCCATTTTCGGAGAAAGAGGTGTTTGAAGCTATTTCACAGATGAAGAATAATAAAGCTCCGGGGCCGGATGAATTTCCGGTGGAGTTTTATAAAAAATGTTGGCACATAATTAAAGGGGATTTATTATCGTTGTTCCATGATCTATTTGCCGGACAGCTTCACTTGTTGCACCTGAATTTTGGAACAATAACTTTGCTTCCAAAGAAAACAGAGGCTGTGAGAATTGAGCAGTTCAGGCCTATCTGTCTTCTTAATGTTAGTTTCAAAAAATTTACCAAGGTTGGGACTAATAGACTCACACAGATTGCGCACTCTGTGGTGCAGCCGACCCAAACTGCTTTCATGCCGGACAGAAACATCCTAGAAGGAGTTGTGGTCCTTCATGAAACGCTCCATGAAATCCATACAAAAAAACTAGACAGGGTTGTTTTCAAAGTGGATTTTGAAAAAGTGTACGATAAAGTCAAATGGCCCTTTCTGCAATAGGCATTGCGCATGAAAGGTTTTGATCAGGCCTGGAGACACCTTGTTGAGTCTTTCACGCAAAAAGGGAGTGTTGGAATCAAAGTGAATGACGACATAGGTCACTACTTCCAAACACATAAGGGCCTGAGACAAGGAGATCCAATGTCACCTATTCTGCTCAACATTGTAGTTGACAATTCTAATAGGAAGGGCAAATGATGCTGGTCAAGTAGGTGGCCTGGTACCTCATCTAGTTGATGGAGGGGTGTCTATCCTACAGTACGCTGATGATACTATTATCTTCATGGAGCATGACTTGGCAAAAGCGAGAAACATGAAGCTGGTGTTATGCTTATTCGAACAATTGACCGGGTTAAAAATTAACTTCCACAAAAGCGAATTGTTCTGCTTCGGAAGAGCCAAAGAGGAACAAGAGGCGTACAAACAATTGTTCGGCTGTGAACTGGGGGCTTTACCTTTCACATATTTGGGTATAGCAATTCACCATCGTAAGCTAAAAAATAGAGAATGGAAGTGTATTGAGGATCAATTTGAAAAGAAACTAAGTTGCTGGAAGGGCAAGCTGATGTCATATGGGGGATGGTTAATTCTCATTAATTCGGTACTCACGAGCATGCCTATGTTTCTCTTGTCTTTTTTCGAGGTACCAGTTGGAGTTCGGAAAAGACTGTGTTTCTATCGATCCTGCTTCTTCTGGCAGAGTGATGACCTGAAAATAAAGTATAGACTCGCTAAATGGGATATTATTTGTCGACCGAAAGACCAAGGGGGTCTAGCTAACGAAAATCTTGAGGTTAAGAACAGATGTCTTCTCAGCAAGTGGCTGTATAAGCTATCTGTAGGGTCGGAGGCCACGTGGGTGCAGATTCTGCGTAATAAGTACCTTCATTCGAAAACTTTGTCCCAGGTGACAGTGAGGCCGATGGGCTCGCCTTTTTGGAAAGGTCTGATGAGAGTTAAATCAGTCTTTTTCAGCAGGACAAAGTTTAAAGTCAGAAACGATACATCTACGAGATTCTGGGAGGATACATGGCTAGGGGAAACGCCCCTCGCGCTTCAATATCCTTCACTTTATAGCATTGTTCAACGAAGAGACGCTTTCGTTGCAACCGTGCTTCAGTCCACTCCTCTCAATATTCATTTCAGGAGAACACTTGTCGGTGCCCGTTGGGAAGCCTGGCTCCATCTGGTGAGAAGACAGATGGATGTGCAGCTTTCTCAACTTCCAGACCAGTTGCGCTGGAAGCTAACCAGGAATGGAGAGTTTACAGTTAAATCCATGTATCTGGATATTATCAACACTGGTTCTATTCCTAGTTCGAAACATGTTTGGAATGTCAAAGTACCTTTGAGAGTTAAAGTGTTTATGTGGTTTGTACACAAACAAGTCATTTTAACTAAGGACAACTTGACAAAACGCAGCTGGATTGGTTCTACAAGATGTAGTTTTTGTGACCGGGATGAGACCATTAAACACCTCTTTCTTGATTGTCCGATGGAGAAAATTTTATGGAGGACTGTTCACATTGCTTTTAATATTACTCCTCCGAATAATATCAACACGTTATTTGGGACGTGGCTTGATGGGATAGAGTCCGAAACAGCGAGACACATTCGTGTAGGAGTATGTGCTTTACTGTGGGCAGTTTGGAACTGCAGGAATGATTTGGGTTTTAACAGAACAACAAATACTCTTTTTTGCAGGTTATCTTTCGAGCCACTGCGTTGATCCGTATGTGGTCGCTACTCACTTAGATGGAGGCCAGGGAGCGTTTGGTTACTGGATCTATCCGATGAGAGATGGTAGCTCGTGCTATATTAAACTGAATTGGATGGCGGTCATGTAACAGGATAGGCAATTAGTTTTCCTATCTTTCTTTTGCCAGCCGGTTGTGGCTTTATTTTTACCATCATGCTCTTTGTGAGCTTTTTTGCTTCGTTCATTTTGAGACTTCAGGACCTATGTTGAACTTATTTGCTTTTTAATAAAAGTGGTTGTATGCATCGTTCTGATGCAGAGGCCGGGGATCTCCCCCTTTTCTAAAAAAAACCTCTTTTGGGAATGTGAGTTTACAAGAGCTTGCTGGAATGCTATCATCCTATCCAAGAAAGAGGCATCTCAAGTTATGATGAAATTTGCTTATCCTTGGTTGAACTTCCTTCAGAGATTGCTATGGACATTGTTCTTATGGGCTGTTGGGGATTTGGTCCATTAGAAATGATAAGATCTTCAGACAAGCTGCCCCACACATCCCTATGTGGTTCTTGTATTTGAAGGAGGGATTGAGAGTGGCTCTTATACGAGCGAGCGAAGGCACATAAACTCCAGTCCTGGATAAATAATAATTTGTAGTTTATTTACGTTTCCTAAAACTGGCATTGGCTGATTGCCCACTTTTGTAATTCGTTTGTACATATTTAATTTATGAAATATACCGTAGAACAACTTAAAAAAAAGATTGGTCTAGATCTGGTTGAACAATGCCAACATTGCATAGTTGTATGTCATTTAGGGTTGTCTAAATTTCATACCACCCGGAGTTGTCTGATGTCTCGGAATATGTTGATCTCACGAGGTAATAAATTTTACAGAATTACACTTAGCATACTTAGAATCAAAAGTTAAAACATGCATGTGTTCAGGCTAAGTTCAAAATCATGTTGTCAGATCCTTTAATTTATTGGGTGCGAGCACTTTTTTTTGGCAATTGTTGGGGAAATATTTGGTTATCCTTGATTTTTGTCTTTCTTACGCCTTTTGTCATCACGGCAATATATATGTTGTCGTAATGCATTGACATTTAACTATGATATCAAGTAATTCTTCATTGATTCGTCAATGCGATTACTAAATGTTGCCCGTAGCAACGCACGGACATTGTCCTACTAGACATAACATCTCAATTGATGGTGGATCAACACTTCAATAAAATTATCACCACGGAGAGGTGAAATAGCTGGATGCTACAGTTCAGCTCCAGCTTTGTTCTGCCTGACCTTGTTACACGATGCTACAATCTTTTTATTCCCATATAAACTGGTCGACTCAGTGTTAGACCAGCGCATGGCAGCAGATATAACTATCTCACCATAGTTTATAGTTCAAGTCCACAAATGGTCGTGTCTTGAGTAGATGTCAGTATGCTAGCTAGGCGAAGAGTGTCCCACTCATGATGGTAACAGCTTCTCCCTGAATCAGCACTCTCTTATTTGCAGCATCCAGCTCCAGGTATAGTGTTCCACTCCTTGGAGATGCCTGATGATGAAATACACAGTACAAATGAAAACCAACGTGATAGTTTGATTGAATGAGTGGCATTGCAACATAAACGGGTCACTGAACTATATTTCTCTAGTGGAAAACATATTCAACAACATTACCTGAAATGCTATCAATTTTTGTTTCCCCAGCTTTTCACTCCAATAGGGTGCCAAAACACAATGTGCACTGCCACATACAGGATCCTGCAATGACATTGAAGACAGTTTTGGGGTATCTATCAATGAGGAAGTTCAACGAGCTTCACTATTTATATGTATTCAACTTGGCATAGAGGTTGCTGTGTTACCTCATCAATCCCAAATTTTGGGCAGAAGAAACGTGAGAAGAAGTCATAGCCTGATCCAGGAGGTGCCGGCCCAGTCACAATCACACCTCTGCCTGCACATCAGGGAAAGAGGTGATCGGTGACCTCTTTCCCTGATGAAAGTTCGACCTGAAAGCCATGCCACATCTTTTGGTTATAACACGGGTCTTTACCTTTCAAGTTCAGTTAGGAAATACTCCCTCCGTAAACGTTTAGAATACTAAAATAGTAATCTAAATGCTCTTATATTAGTTTACGGAGAAAGTACTCCTATATTTATGCAGGTGTATAACAGAAAGGGCAAAGGGGTAAGGTGAAAGACAGTACAATGAAGTCGGTGGTGGTCAACGATTTGTGAACACTGACGACGGACGCGCCGTTGAGCGTCTCCGGGATGGACGGCAGCTCGCCGGCGGGATCGCAACCCACGTAATCACTCATGGGGAAGTCCAGCTCAATGAACAGCTTCCCCTGCTCCTCCGTCTCCGGTGCAGGAACCTTCTTGGCGGTCAGGATGCCTGACTTGGTCGCAAACTCGACCACTCCATGGCGCTCCCCGAGGTCGGCCGTGAAGAGGAAGTGGGCGGTCGCCAGCGTCGCGTGCCCGCAGAGCGCGACCTGAGAATTGGAAACGACGGCGCAGGTGTGAATCAACTGCAAGAAATGAAATGGAAATGGTGCGAAATCAACGGGTGTTGAGGTGGGAAGCTAGGCGGCGACCTCGGTGACGGTGGTGAACCAGCGGAGGTGGAACCGCGGGATGGCGGCGCCGGCTGCGAGGGAGGAGGAGTCGCGGGAGAGGAAGGCGGTCTGGGACTGGTTGAACTCGACGGCGACGGACTGCATCCACCGCCCATCCCCCGTGGGGGCGGCGGCGTCGTCCTCGAGGAAACACACCGCGGCCGGGTGGCCCTTGAACGGCTCGGCCGTGAAGGCATCCACCTGCGACGAGACAGCGTAGGCCAACGTGAAGGTCAATTCTCATCCGGGCCAAGGCCAAGAAGAGAAAATGAAGGAGACGAAAAGAGAGCACTGACCACGACATACTGGATTCCTTTCTTGGCCATGTCCGCCAAAGAGAAGAGAGCACCCGAGCGCCAAATCTGATTTCTCCGAATGGATGTGAACCTTTTTATGCGACACTGGTGCTCTAATCAGCTGATGATGATGCAGCATTAATAAGCAGCGACAATATGGAACTTGCAGGCTTCCTTCCTGGTCTTGTGCTATTTAACTTCTGCGCTAGGCATATGGAGTCACTGACAGGTGGGGTCTCCTTGCGTACAGAGTCGTAGGCCAGCGGCTACAATGACGAAACCTTACCTGCTCAAATGTTTTTTTAGGGGAGAACGCCCACTGGATCATTTTATTTCAGCTTAACGATAGAGAAACATCGATTTGTTACAAAAGGAATTACAATGCTAGCGGGTCTATGTCCCAAAACAAATCATGCTTTGTTCCAAATGCATGTTTTGATAAATTGTGCATCATCACATTCGTCTCCCTCACATAGTGCTGAAAAGAGACAATACTTCCAATTCTTTGCGCCTTTTGGAAACAATCTGCTAAAACCGCCATGTAGGGGCTCCATATTTCGATGATGTCATTGCATACTTGGATGAGTTCGAAAGAGTCTGATTCCACAATCATCGGTACATAGCCTAACCTCTCCACCCGCTCAAGTTAAGCATCATCGCTGCCCCTACTATACAACCTCTCCTTTCTCATCTCAGACAACTGCCCCCGAAGCACCCGAACCGTTCTCAAAGTAGGTAGTAACTATATTCAACTTGTAGATCTTACTTGGAGGTTTCTTCCATATCATTTCATGTGGTTCAGAAGATCTTGTTGCAATGTTGAACTTTGACGGTATTGCACGAATCGCAAAAGAAAATCTTGGAGTTGATGCAACATACTCGCACTTGACAGCATGGCGCCGTTGCCACGAGATATACGAAGCCCGACTGCGATCGTCTCCTTCAAGTGCTTCATACCTAGGACCGGTGACTTTCCACAACCCCGGATGAGTTCCCCAAGGGTCACCGATCCCGATTTGTCAACAACAAGTGCTTTGTCAATGATCTTCCAAAGACCCAAAGAACGCCAAACTTTTTGCTCGCAGGCACGTAAACATTAAATGTCGCATATCCTCAGCCCCTCCCATATAGATCGAAATTGGAGGTTAACCCACTCAAATGTAACATCCCCCATTAAGTTTTACTGAATAATTTGCAGTCGTGACACATCTCATAATCATCGAAACCCATCCCTGGGCAAAGCCAAAGGGTGCAATAAGGACTCCTTTAGTTTATTGGATAGTGATATCACATTAGTAGGGAAGTTATAGGAAATAAAATAGGGTTAATTTGGTAAATGCCACTCGAATTCTGGCAATTCCGAGAAATGTCACTGCAATTTCCAAACTTTGAAAATGCCACTGCAAACTTTGAAAAACGACACTGCAGACTTTGAAAAATGCCACTAGAAATGGCATTTTTCAAACTTTGGAAATTGCAGTGGCATTTCTCGGAATCGCCAGAATTCGAGTGGCAGTTATCAAATTAACCCAACAAAATAACATGTATCTCAAATGCTATAACAAAAGAGATGTTATTTGGTTCATAAGATATTATTTTTTCACTAGATTTGAGTAGTATTCTTGTTTCCTCAATTTTTCATTCAGTTCGCAAGATATCATTATTTTGTAAAATTTATATGAGTAAGTTTCAACTCGATGCCAATCTGCATGGGTTTTTTGGATTTATTTTTGGAACTTGAAAACATGTTATCGCAAACACACAAAAGCTTTGGGTATCATTTCATTGATAAAAGAGTTAGGGTACAATAATTACATAAGGCATCACACAAGTATGTGTAAGTGCCAGCGCTAAAAGAACAAAGGGGTGCGCGACTCCGAAAAACAATCGCCTACATCTCAGGGGTCAACGTTCTATTCCTAAAGCTCCCGAACAAACCCAAGAGCAAGCTTCATCAAGGTCCGGATCAGCCACCATGATGAAGACATAGCCATTGTGGTGCTTACAAATTCGCCATGAAGTAAGGATGAGGAGAGCCGCAAGCCTGCGTCGAAGATACGTGAGCGCGCAAAGAACAGTAGATGAGAGCCAGTCTAGGAAGTCATTGTCGTGGCGGGGAAGGGTTGCAGTGGATCGGCACCAGGCGAGCACAGAAAAGTTGGAATATGTATTTGGCTAAGTTTCAGAGGGTGGGTATGCTGAAACTCAAGATCGTCCTAGTGTTTTGTCGTTGGGGTGAACCATAGGCCTTAGGGGAAAAAGCTTAGGCCTTAGTGAGATTTAAAGTTTTCTCACATCGAAGAATGCAAGGACAAAAGGTGAATCTTATTTTCTATTAAAAATAGCGAGAAATTCCAAATAGCCCTGCACATGTGTATCCACCCACACCGTAGATAAACTGGATCTAGGAAGGGAGCATGGAAAGTATGCGGGATTAGATTTCATGCACGATTGGTGGGGAGCGGATTTGGCAAAATTGTAACATGTTGTGGGCAATAGGAGACTTTAAAATACGAGAAATTTGAAGAAATATTCTCAAAGAAAGATAACATCATAAGAGTCAACAAAGGTCATGATCAATGGCATGGGCAAGAATTTAAGAATCAATCTCAATCTGGATTCACAAGATGCCCCAGCTCTACGCTTCCTGGAGTGCTTTCCTGCAGGCTTCAGTTTCTGCATCTCGGGCGCACTACAACTTTTTTTGAACCGCAAACCATAGAACGATTGTTCTACGGTACTTTTCATTTATATAAATAATAAGTACAATATTTATAAAAGGAGACATACAAAACTATAAAATCATTCCACTATCCAATTCCTGCTCTTGAGGTCATGTTCATAAATAAGGATTTATAGTCCTTCCATGTTAGCATCATAGATGTGCATCTATCCATGCTTTCAAAGAAAATTCTTGGACTTGTTCTTGCGTTCAAGCACGGAAATATCTTCCTTGATCCTGATTTTCCAACAGTTAATACTTTCAACTTCTCTCCTGAATATTTTCCCATTCCTTTGATTCCAAATATTCCAACAGCCTAGAATGATAACATCCATTGCAATTTTTCTTAGAAGTTTCTTTTGAACCAGAAATGTTTCATCAAAAATTGAAACATCTCTCTCATTGGTTGGTATTGTGCTATTCCAACAATCCTGTGAAGCAGCAATCCCAAAATAGATGCATTGAGGTTTCTTCAGTTCTTTCATTACAGAAGATACATTCATAACAATCTAGATCCATATACTTTCTTCTTAAGATGTTTTTGGTGTTGACTCTGTCATAGAGTAGCAGCCAAAAGAAAATATTATGTCTTAGCATGTCTGCACTCTTCCAAAGCCATTTGAACAGGACATGTGCTTCCCCATCTCCACTAAGGCAATTATACATCTTGATTGAGGAATCCAATGTTTTGGCCATGACATTTCCATTTATCTTGTGCTTGAGGTTTTATGTGTTGCAAGATCAAGCCATGGAGATCAAAAGCTTGAGGTGATATAGGTGAATGAAAGTGTACATCAATGGCAAAAGAATAAAGCTGGAATTTTTGGATTAAGGGTTGATCTAACCAACTACCATACCAAAGAAGAGTAGAAAATCCATTAGCAACTTTATATCCAGCATTCAATTTTTATGAGAATAAAAGTTCAAGATGACCTTTCCACCACGGCGTACTGCAATCGCCCAGCTCGCACAACAACCACTGCCTCATTTCCTCACATCAAAGCTACCATCATTGTTAATCCTCACACATCATGTGTCTTGATAAACTAATACAATGCAGATTTGACAGCGAACACCCCTCTCGGCCCATAGAAGCAAGCACAATATGCTTTGATCCCCC